TCTTGTTGGGGGGACGGGGACGTCTTCTTGGGAGGTGGTGGGGACGTCTTCTTTGGGGGCGACGGGGATGCCTTCTTCGGGGGGGGCGGGGACGCCTTCTTGGGCGGCGGCGGTGGGGACGCCTTCTTGGGTGGCGGTGGCGGCAACGCCTTCTTGGGCGGCGGCGGCTTCTTCTTGGACGGCGGCGGCGACGACTTCTTCTTGGGTGGCGGCGGCGGCTGTCTTAGTTCTTTCACTATGGACTTATGGAGCTCTTTCAGACTGCACATGTTGGGACCCTTCCGGGTTCCCACAGCGTTGTTGCAGCGTTGGTTGATGCCCTTGTTGTTATTACCCCAGTTGAGGTTTCCCTTGTTGGAGATCCCTGCTCAGTTGAAGGTTTGCCATGTTAAAATGAGGGGCACAGAGAGACAGGGGTATCATTCCGCTTCGTCCATCTCAGGCAGCATTTGAAACCCCAGTAACGCCCAGCTACTTCCCTCATCCCGCTCACCGATGTTGTTGTCGCCCACATTCTTGTTGCGAAAATTGTTCTTGCTCTTGTTCCCAGTTCAAATGTTGCCATCCTTGTCCGCGGTGCACGCCTTCTGTCCAGCCTTGAGGCACTTGACTGCAACCAGGATCCTGGTGGACCGGTTCTTGATGATCTCAAAGGGACTCAGCTTGATGGCGCTGACAGAAATACCGAGGTCGTTGAGAGTGGTTGTCTTAACAGAGCCTGCCTTGCTGTACCCCTGCGACCTGTGGTGGTTGAAAGGGGAAAGTCACAGTCAATAAACAGGGTGTGTCCTTGGTCTGGTCTCGCATACCAAAGCCGCGGCCAAGCTCGCCTCATAACGCACCTGCAGATGTTGTCTGCACTGCTCACGTCCAGCATATAGACGTGGGGCCCGAAATTAACAGAGGAGGTAGGAGTGTGTGGCGAGGGTGAATGTGCGAGTGCCCGGAAGCAGTATTTGTTGCCCGCTCCACGCGGTAAACCCAGCGCATCGTACATCTCCCGTTGCAGGGCTTGCGCAAGATACTGTAGAACCGAAAATACCGAATGCTCCTGATCCCTACCTCAGCAGCAGCGAGCCTGTCCCTGTTACACGCACAGGCAAAGGACATCACGGTGTAATGACCCCTCGGAGGCGTCTCCGACGGCTACTACTTTCTTACAGCTACGTCCAGGAAACTCAGCAATTGTGTACATATGCATTTATGTTGGTCGATAAACGGTACTTCAATATCATACATATAAGGTCTGGAAGGAGCCCAGCAACGCACTGTGCCTTTCTCCATTCCAGAGTCACCCGGCGCCTGCAATGGATCGGACGTTGGGTTCTTAGTAAATGTCCGGGCAAGCAGCGTGCATGAGCGTAAACTGTTCATGCCGTAGGACGTGAGAAGAAAATACACAAGTCACCATCGCGTGGCTTCAGCGATCTTGGTGGAATAGGTATCGTCATTGAGACACTCAAGAGTAGCAAATACAAGTAGATATAATCATCAGCCACGCGGGGGATTGGTGATATGCAAGGCAGCACAGGGATGGATGATGGGATTTCCAGGCAGGGCACTTGATATCTACCCATGCCCAAGGGACAAGGAACGGTGGGAGCCTCAGAGAGAAGATTAAACAATCAGATCATTGCTTGCAAACGTCGCCAGAACGGCGACACAAACTCATCTGACACGCATGAATGAGAATGAGTTCTCATCATCGGCAGCCCAGGGAGTGAAAAGGGTGATGCATGGCGGGTGTGTGCTCAGACATATGATCCAGCGTTATCGTATCACGGGATGTCAGTAGCAGAACTGGCATAACTGGAGTTTGGTCATCAGTGCACACTCTGAACAGCAAGACCGGAATCATGGCGTAGGGGCAAGGGCTGGGATTCCTAGCAAGGGCGATCGGCTGCCCAAGGTCATGCAACTACACGGCAGAATCGGGGGTGGGCATCTACCACATTCCCTGCCATCACGAGTTACCTGTCGCATCCATGGGATGACGTGGATGTGCAGCAGCAAGGAAAGCACGGACGCTTGCCAAAGCGAACCGGTGCAATCCCTACGGCACTGTGACCTTCACCGGACGTCAGGTTGGGTCACTGTCTTTGTATGTGTCATGCCGCAGCTCACATCCCCTCCTCATCCTCATCGGCATCGCTGAACCGGTTTGGGTCTCCTCCCAAAGCCTGCAAATACCAAAAGATGATGACTTTGCTGGGCACAGAGCTTCCACAGGCACACTGGGTGGGAGGGAGGTTGCCGCACCAGGCCACCTCCCAAAGCCCAGGCATGCCGACCCAGCATCACTCACCTCTTCGATCTCCAGGCGATGCAGTGCAGCATCCGTGCCCGCCAAGACCTCCTCCTCATCGAAGAAGATGCCGCCCTCCTCGTCCTCTCCCTCCTCGCCGTCGTCGGGGTTCCTCTCCGCGCCCTCGCTCAGGGCAGCAAACAAGGGCTCTACCAGGGCGGGATCGGAGGGGATGAGCCACACCTCCGAGGCACCCTCCCCTTCCTCCTCCGCCTCATCTTCGTAGTCGCTGTCGCCGCCAGCGAGCTGGAGGTACAGGCAGGCCGCCTGGTCCCCAGTGCCGCTCACCACCGCATGCATGGCAATTTCGGTGAAGGGCAGTGCGAGCGCGGGCGGGCCGCCCTCTTGAGGAAGCCACGACAAGGCACTGGGTGAAAGGAGGTGAGGGGGTGCCCTTCAATACCACAGGGCATGAACAGACGACGGAGTGCAAAGCGATCGCGGCGCCTTGCCAGCGCTCCCTCACCTCTTGGTGCACTGCAAGGATCCGGGCCATCCTGCGTCCGAGCTCGATCGCTTCAGTACGACGCCCGAGAAGGACTGCAAAACGGTGTCATCGTCCTGCGGGACCTCCTCGCCTCCAGCCTCCCGATGAGCGTGGCCGTTGCCACACTGGGCGGGCGTCATGATGGTGTGGGTCCCCAGGCGCCGCACCAAACCGCGCACAACTTCAGCGACAGTAAAAGCTCCTCACATCCTCTGCTTTTGCATTGCGGTGTTGCATTATCTGCAGAGACAAAGCCGCCTGTTTCTCGGGGCTGCAGACTTTGATCCCGCCACCATCGCCCCGTACCTCCAAGCGAGGGTACCGTTTCCAACCCGCGCGTCCTCCCTCCCTTACAACTCGGTGCCTGGACAAGTGAGATCCTCCCACCCTCGCCCCGACACACCCACCGACTTCCTCACTCGTTCCTTCCTTTTCGGTAAATACAGAAGTATTTTAGGGTCCGAGTAACCTGTGTGCTCCGTCTCCTCCCGCATTGTGGCACCAATAAACCCCGCGGACCTCCTCCTCGTGACGGGCCCAGCATGCAGCGTCTGCAGAGGTGCGCACGGTGATCCGTCTGAGTTTCATACTGCACACATTCATCTGCATCGCAAGCCAATCCCGCCCACCTGATTCGCACAGGGTTGCCGCACAAGCCTTGGCCCCGCTGGGGTCCCGGCTCCTGAGCACCGCCGAGGTGAGAGTGCGTGGCCGCGAGGGCCGCTCCCAGTGCCCTTCAGCCCAGGTGTCGCGCCCATCCCACCCCTTCACATCCCTGCTCCAACCCCGCAGACCCCCGCCGTGTTCGTGGACAAGACCACCCGGGTGATCGTACAGGGGTTCACCGGCAAGAACGGGACCTTCCACTCCCAGCAGGCCATCGACTACGGCACCAACATGGTCGGGGGTGTGACACCCAAGAAGGGCGGCACCACCCACCTGGGCCTCCCCGTGTTCGACACGGTGGCGGAGGCACGGGCGGCAACGGGGGCCACCGCCACTGCCATCTACGTCCCGCCCCCGTTTGCCGCCGCGGCCATCATGGAGGCGCTGGAGGCGGAGATCCCCCTCATCGTCTGCATCACGGAGGGCATCCCCCAGCACGACATGGTGCGCGTGAAGAAGGCACTGAGCCAGCAGAGCGCGTCGCGGCTCATTGGGCCCAACTGCCCCGGCATCATCAAGCCCGGGGAGTGCAAGATCGGCATCATGCCCGGCTACATCCACACCCCGGGTCGCGTCGGCGTCGTTTCCCGCTCCGGCACCCTCACCTACGAGGCCGTGTTCCAGACCACGCAGCAGGGCCTGGGCCAGAGCACGGTGGTGGGCATTGGCGGCGACCCCTTCAACGGCACCAACTTCGTGGACTGCCTGGAGCGGTTCGTGGCGGACCCGCAGACCGAGGGCATCATCATGATCGGCGAGATCGGGGGCACGGCCGAGGAGGAGGCCGCCGACTTCCTCCGCGCCTCCGGCACTGACAAGCCCGTGGTGAGCTTCATCGCGGGGCTGACCGCGCCGCCGGGGCGCAGGATGGGCCACGCGGGCGCCATCATCTCGGGCGGGAAGGGTACCGCCGGGGACAAGATTGCTGCGCTGGAGGCCGCGGGGGTCACCGTCAGCCAGTCCCCCGCCCAGATGGGCGTCGCCATGAAGAAGTTGTTTGAGGAGCGGGGACTGCTCTGAGAGGGGCGCCGGGGGCGTGCCACGCCCAACAGAATGAATGGAGGTGCCCCTGTCCCATGTCGCGCCTGGGTCTGTATCTTCAGCACTGTGCAAAGGGGGCGGGTAGCAAGGACGGTGTGCATATGTTTGGGGAGAGGGTGGGGGGGTGGTAGCTGAGGAGATGCAAGGGGTGATGCCATTGCGACTAACCCCAGGAGCAGACAGCGTTCATGTTGCAAGTATAGATAGGGAGAGAGCATGCCCCACTCGATGGACAAGTCGGGCGAAACATGCGCTCAGTGTGTGGAATGTCGCATTGGCGAGGAGTGCGTGAGGAAAGGAGGATTCATTGTTAGCTCTGCCATGAGGGGAGCCGAGCTCCGATCCCATGCACTGCCTTACCTTGATCCTGGATGCTCGAATGAAGAGGTAGATCATCGCATGCGATCGCAAAACATGAGAGCCTTGCTCGTCATCCTGCTGATGATCGGGAATGGCATGGCCTTTCCCAACGTCGCCATGACGGATGCTGCCGGAGGCCTCCCCTCACCGGTCGTCATCATACGGGCGCATGGAGACGCTTGGTGCTTACCGAGGTGCAGGCTTTTCATGCAAACATCCAACGGCTCGGCGTCGACATCGCGACTGCACCGCCTGAACACGGTCATGCTCGGGTCGGGTCGGCGGCAGGCGATCGGAGTTCCCGGCATCGAGTGCCAGGACGCTGAATGCGCAGCCACCCTCGAGACCATGATGGACGAGGGACATGGAGAATCAAGTCAAGAAAGGTATCCTGGAGCGCACCTGGAGGTCCTGACCTTCAACCTTACACGCAGCACGGCCCCAGCTGTCATGCCCACGATGTTGGAGCTCGAAACCGCTGGGCCTCCTGGTGATGCTCTCGACTCCGACGACAAGCCTGTGGACGCCCTTGATCCATGCTTGCGTGATTCAAGGCTAGCACCTGCACTGCTCATGTGCTTGACACTTGCGTGTTCCACCGCTGCTGCGTATACATGGCTGGTGCTCTCAAGTGTGGAGTAAGTCCATTGCGAGTGAAATTTGGGTCACAAGATGTTACAGATGATGAAAGCACATGCAGAACATTACTCCAAGCGATAAGCTGGAGCAATTGCCAATAGTTTTAAGCGTGTCACCTGCATTGATTCAGTTCAAAGGGTTCAGGACGTGAAGCGCTGCTAAGCTTGCTGCTCCCTCAGCCACTGTGTCAACTCAGCCACACCGCGCAGAGTTCTTGGATGCGACGCATCACCAAACACAGAGGCCTCCGGTCTGTAACGCTTTAATGCATGCTGCTCCTCCCGGGTCAAGATCCCATACACTTGATCTGCAGCGCCTGTGGCGACCAGAGTTGAGAGTCGCTGAAAAACAGGCGCTTGGGGTCGCTGCCATACCCTGGTGAGTCGCGGCGGTGCCTTTGAGCAATGTAGAAACTCAATCGATGCACAAGATCATAGTTCAGCTCACCTGTCGCAGCACTTGGGTCCCCCTGCACATGATCGCAGATTTGGCGCAGCAGCAGGTCTGTGTCTTGAGTGGCATCCAGCCAGCGGAATTCCGGCCGGTTTCGGAACCAGGTCATCTGGCGGTGGCACAGCTTGCGAGTGGCAGACTGGATGTCGACCACCAGACTCAACTAAGTAGAGATGGGGGGGACGGTCGGTGAGGGGATGGAGCTGGGCAAAGGGTGAGCAGGCATTCAAAGTTGCTCTCGAGTATTCCTCAAGCCTGAGCATGGGATCTCACGGGGGGCCTGCGGAAGTCATGGTGGCGACTCCAGCAAAATTCCCACGTGCAGCTCCTGCCTCACACCCGTTCAACCCACGCCCACGCACCAGAATACCAGGCAGCTCAGCATCTTTTATTTCCTCCTTTCTCAGGCGTTCTAGTGCCAGGAGGGCCTGACGGTACCCGATGGCCCGCGTGGCACAGGTTGTGTTTGGCGCAGCACCGCAGGCGAGGAGGTGGGCCGCCTCCTGTGTGCGCCGAGGGGGGGTACGCGTCGCCTCGATCCAGACACAGGCTGGAGCTCGGGTGGCATGGTGGGCCCGAGGGCTGTGGCAGGAGCTCCACAGGCACACGAGCCGCATCGACGTTTTTTTACCGTGCAGCACCACCCTGCCAAGGTCCTTTCTAACCCCCTCACCCACAATGAGACACCCTCACCCCGATGAGCCCGCTGCTGACCATGTGGTCCACCCTGGAGTCGATCCTGCGGTACAGATCCAGCCTCGGCCGGACCAGGAAAAAGGGGTGGAACGCGAAGGCCCTGCGCCGCTCCTGGCCCGCCTGCGCAAAGTCCGACAGGCGAGCCCCCGGCGCTGACAGCAGGACCTCCACCACCCTCGCCAGGCGATAGGTGTTGTTGGGCTCCTCTGCCAGCCTGGGCGTGCGGTGAGGGGTGTGTGGTGCGGTTGGAAGCATCCTCATGCTGCAGCCAAGGAGCTGCAGACCTCAGCTGGGAAGGAGCAATGACAGTCCCCACCATTCCCCTTGCCTCCCCCCGGAAATCTCCCAGCTCCCTGATACCTGAAGGCACTTCAAACCCCTCTTGGATGCCTCTCCCTCACTCCTCCTCGGTACCTTTCTGCGGCTTGGGCGTCCCCCAGGTCCCGCACCAGCCGGCACCCGAGGACCCAGGCCTGCTCCTGGGAGAGGGTCTGGCCCTGCTCGGCTGCCTCCTCCCAAGCCTGGGCCAGCCTCGCTTGGGCAGCGGCTGCGGTTTCGGGGGTGGACACCGGCGTCCCTGGCTTGCCATGCATGAACCATTGGAGGTACAGGCCTGTCCCGCCGACGACAATGGGAACTTTGCTCCTCTTAAACATGCGCAATGGGAGGGGAGCTGGAGTGGAAGGAATGGGATTGAAACGCTGGTGAGGCCCACGAGGCATCCCTCTTCCCAGGGCACACATACGATCCACAGCCCCACCTGCACGATGTCATCCACTGCAGCCCAGGCCAGGTCATGGAAGATGCCTGCCGAGAAGTCTTGCTGGGGGTCCAGGATGTCGATGAGGTGGTGGGGCACGCCCTGCCTTGCTTCCACAGGAATCTGATTGTGTGGTGAGAGGATGAGCCAGCCACAACAAGGGTGTTTGTTGAGCGGTGTTGCGGAACATGGGTTGCAGGGTGGACAACCCACCAGGTGTCCATGTCCTGTTGGTCCTCACCTTGTCGGAGCCCACGTCCAGCTGCCGATAGACCTGGACCGAGTCCGCGCTGATGATCTCTCCGTCCAAAGCCTTGGCCAGCCGGATCGACAGGTCCGTCTTTCCCACCGCAGTTGGGCCGGTAATGATCACGACGGCAGGGCGAGGCCTGGCCTGGTCCGATGTCATGCGCGCCAAGCCTCGAGCTGCAAGCGCAGCGTATCCAGCACGTGATGCGATGCGCGAAGGACCGGCTATCATGGGGTTCCGATGGGGGCGCGCACTACGAGCCCCGCAGGGGCAGACAGGGCAGTCGGTCTCATGGCAACACGGCCATGTATGGCAACTGGACACGCCATGCTCCCGCTTCTCCGGAAACACTTCCGTGACATGGCCCAATGTGGACGATAAAGCCGTATCTAGCCGTGACATTCGATGCACCTCCATCCGGACGGGTACTAAATTTTCCGCGCGCCGAGTTGCGAGCTGCCGTGGATCGAGCGCGGGAATCGTCGACCTGTAGGCAGGCCTCCCTACCCGGCATGCAATTCTTCTCGGACGAGTCACAGGGCACCTCGCCAGCATGGCACCATCAAGCAATACATTTGTCAATTTCGTCAGTCGTTCCGGAGCCTGATACCAGTCGGCGCTCAATCGCAGGCCGTGCTGACGGAAGCTGCTCCGAGCCGCTACCCGGCAACTAACGAGAACGAGTTTTGGGCAGTGGACGTGCCAGGCGGAGCAGTCAGCCATACTTGGCATTCATCTGTCCTAAATCGGCTCAAGCTCAGCTCGATCAAGTCCCATCCTAGTCAACTGCACGCGGACGCGCACAGATCTGTTGCTGGCCCACCAGTATGGAGGCCTTTTACGTCTACCTTTTCATGGTCGGTGCAGTGGCAGCGGCCGTATTCGAGTATGGAAATCGGCTGGTGAAGGTGACGGCTGCTCCCGATCTGGCCTTCAGGGGGTTCAAGACCAATTACCTCGTGGTGTACTCCTTCATGATGGGTACGAGGGGCCGGGGCGAGGGGCATTCGGTGGCCTCTGCCGGGCCAGTTGATCACAGTCTGATGCAGACTACCTCGCTCTCATACCTCATGCCGTGTGCCATGCGCAGCTGGGGACTGGCTGCAGGGGCCGTACGTGTACGCCCTGTATGAGCACTATGGCTTCACCCGGGGCGAGATCGGGCGCCTCTTCATCGCCGGCTTTGGCTCCTCCATGATCTTCGGCACCGTGATGGGGTCCCTGGCCGATAAGTAGTGAGTGGCCTGCCAGGGCAGAGCGCCTGGGGTGGGGATCCTGGGAAGTGCATGGCAGGGTCTCCGCCGTGGCTGAAACCCAGCGACACTGGATGCGCATAGGCTCGTGCCAAGCACTCCTGTACCTATTTGCCACCCGTGGCATGCCATTCGCTCCGCTCTTACACCCCGCCAACTCCTCCCCTGCCAGTGGAAGGAAGCGCGCCGCGCTCCTCTACGTCGTCTGCTACACGCTGGGCTGCTTCACGAAGCACGCGCCCAACTTCTGGGTGCTCTTCTTCGGCCGCATCCTGTGTGGCATCGCCACCTCCCTCCTCTACTCCGCCTTTGAGAGCTGGGTCGTGGGCGAGCACAACAAGGTGTGGTCCTGGGTGGCTCCAGGGTGGGGAGTTCTTGAGGCCTGGGTGGCCCCCATCTGCTCACTTGCTCTGGGAGCTCTACAGCCATCAGCGTGCATCCCGACACACTCACCAGTACACCCTCTCACATCACCTATACCTTGGCAGAGGGGCTACAACCCCGAGTGGCTGGGCGGCATCTTCTCCCAGGCCGTCTTCCTGGGCAATGGCCTGGTTGCCATCCTGGCAGGGCTCTTCTCCCACTCCCTGGTGGACACCTTCCGCCTGGGTCCGGTGTCGCCCTTTGACGCTGCAGCCATAGGTGCGTGGAATGGTGGTCGATGTGCATTGTCGGGGCCGGGCTGATTGCTGTGGTGGAGGGCAGGGGGCTGCTGGTGGTGTGGGAGCTTCCACATGAGAGTGCCGGAGTCCTGGCCTCTGGTAGGCAGCCTTAGGTTTGGGGTCAGCACCCTTTGTGAAGCTAGAGGCAGAGAGGGTTCCGCACTGAGTACTTCCACCATGGTCCATAGCATGGGGAGAGGAATGATGTTGGAGCCTTGGCCACTGGAGATGGGAACACATTGCTTGCACCCTGAGGCTGCAAGGGTCTCACATGCACACCGACTCTCGGCCCCTCTGCAGTCCTGGTCATCGGGGGTGTGATCATCGCGCTGACCTGGACAGAAAACTACGGCGATTCCTCCGAGTCGGCCAGTCTGGCTGAGTCCTTTGGCAAGGCCTACACCCTCATCATGAGCGGTGCGTGGGGAGAATTTTCAGGGAGCGAAGGGGACGAAGGCATTGGATTGGCTCCGGTGATGTATGTATCACCAAGGTTGGCCCTTGTTTCGTGCCTCTGGGTTCCCTCCTCTCATCCTCCGGCGCCCTGTTCACTGTCCCCACCCCATGCCCTCCATCACCCACCCGCAGACCCCAAGTTCGCGCTGCTGGGAGCGATGCAGTCCCTCTTTGAGGGGTCCATGTACACCTTTGTTTTCCTCTGGACTCCAGCCCTCAGGTAAGGCCCTTGATTGGGCAGCAGGAGGGTGGACCGAGGCACTCCCCGCCGTCGCGTGTCTTGCTGTGCCAGGTACTCTTGTGTACTCGGCCTTGACGCCCCATTCTACAGCACTCCTCCACTTCCTCCATCCCAGCCCCAACGGCGAGCACCTGCCGCATGGCATGATCTTCGCCTGTTTCATGGTGTCCTCCATGGTCGGCTCTGCCCTGGCCGGCAAGCTCATGTCGCTGACCACGTGAGGCCGGGAGGAAGGGCGAGGGAGCTGGTGGATCGCGGTGCAGGCTTGCGCATTGGACAGTCACCCTTTGTGTTTGACAGGGCAATTGGAGCGGTCAAGATGCCACTCGGGATCGCTCCGCATTGCTTCCCTCTCACCCTGCTAACCCTCAAATCCACATTCTCCACCTTTGCAGGATCAAGGTGGAGCGCTACATGCAGGTCGTGTTCGCTTTTGCTGCCCTTTGCCTCACCATCCCTGTCGTCGTCCCGCCTGCCAAGGCCAGCAACAGGTTGGACGAGGGGAGGGAGGGAGGATGTGCAGGGGGTGGCTGGCTCGAGAGGAAACATGCCGTGGCATGGTTCCTGCCCTCGAGACATGAGCTCGTACAATGTTTTCCGGCGCAGCATGTCTGGTCACACATGCCCTACCCCCACCGTCCTCCACGCTCTGCAGCGATAGCCTGTCGCTGGCTGGCAAGCTCCACCTCCTGGCCTTCTGCGGCTTCGAGGTCTGCGTGGGCATCTTCTGGCCCTCCATGATGACCATGCGCAGGTGGGAGCGGGGGTGATCACGCCGGGGAACGATGAATCAGTGGGGGGCTGGCAGCACCCCCCCCTTTCGGGGCATGGCTCGTGGTGGGGTGTGATGCAGCTGCATCAGGGCATCATCAAGAAGATGGACTTCCTGATGCCGCGAGCAGATCATTGTGCCGGTGCCCCCAGCTCGGCAACATCTGCATTTTCATGTACAAGTCTGTCCCCAACCCCAATCATGCAGCGCCCACATCCCGGAGGAGATTCGATCGACGGTGATCAACTGCTTCCGCATCCCCCTCAACTTCTTCGTTTGCGTGATCCTGTACAATGTGAGCTTGCAGCAGCAGCCGGTGCAGACTTTGATGCTTCAGGGCAGGTGGTCCAGGCCTTTTGCATCACAGCCACAGCACCAGCTCCGCGCGTGTCAAACTGCACCCCCCTTCAGCACCTCCAACCATCCAGCATGCACTCGACGATGCGCAGGTGGGGAGCTACTCCTTGTCCACCATGTTTGGGATGTGCGCCTCCTTCCTGGGCATCTGCTTCGCCTGCCAGCGCCAGTTTGCCGTTCTCATCCACCAGGAACAGGTGAATGGCTTCTTGGGAACGAGACCAGAAAGTGTTTTCCATTTTGGAGGGGTACCTTAGTGGCCATGCATGGGGGCTGGCCGGCCTGTGACAAGGTCTGCCCACATCATGGTTTCCCCGCACCCACGCCTCCCTTGCCTCCCCCCGCAGGCCGGCTCCCACTTTGATGAGGACCAGCGTCTGGTGGCCGCCGCCAAGCTGGAGAAAGGGTCCCTGGCCGCTGAGGCGGAGGCCGACGCGGTGTGAGCGGGCAGGGCCCGGAGGGCTCGATTCTTCCCACCATCCCCCCTGTTCCCCTTCCAAACCCGTCACCCCATGGTGACATGGCCGGCCCCCAATGCCTCCCGCCTCACCCCCCCGGGGGGGATTGGGACCTTGGCTGCCCCCCTCGCTGCCTTGACTTTCAGGAGCTTGTATCATTCTTCCCCTCATCCCTCTTGTCGAGTGGGGACCTGGTGACGGCCGCGCGGGGGGGTGCTGCCCTGCGTGCCACAGTATGTGCAGGCAGACCTTCCCCAGGCACCGGCACGCCACCGCCCCCTCACGGCCTGTGGTCCCCTGCTGTGCGCCTCCCTGTCTCCCCGCCCCACCCACCCGCCGTGGCAGTACAGCTTGTCTCCATAACATTCACATTCCTTCATGCCCTGAAGGCCTTGTAAGCAGACTGGGTGACGGCACCCGAGGATGTGGAGGGTCGGGGTTGGAGCGAGGCACACCTTGCGGCGGATGTGGGGACCTCGCCGTCCACCATGCGTGCACGTCACCGCCGTCGGGACGAAGCCTGCGTGGGGCGCCGTGGCGCCGGCCCCGCCCCCGCGCGCGAGGCTCGGCGCGTGCTGTACCCATGCGCGGGCGAGGGCGAAGGACCCCGCCCTGTCCCGTCCTCCCCGCTCGACGCGTCGTCGTCGTCGCTTGAGCCGTCGTCGTCGCTTGAGCCGTCGTCGTAGCGCGGCCGGCGCGTCGCCGCCCGCAGCGAGACCCTCCGCCCGGGGGCGGCGGCTCGCGCCCCGCCGCCCGCCCTGCGCGGCGCCGGCGCCTCCTCCGCCATGCGCGCCGGCGGCTGCACAGCCCTTCCGGAGCGCGTGGTCCCGGCGGCACGCGCCGAGGCGCCGCGCAGGTTCAGGCGCACGACCTGGCTGGCTCCTGCCGCGCCTCGCCGGGGCCAGGAGACCCCGGCGGCCCCGGCGCGGCCGCTGAGTCGCCCGCGGCCGCCGTCGGAGTCCGTCTCCCACCCGCCGCTGCCGCTGCTGCTGCTGTCGTGGGAGCCAGAGCGGCTCCGTTTCCGCCGCGCCCCGCCGCTCCGCAATGGGGGCGACCCCGCGCGAGGCTGTCGGCGTGGTCGCAGGCCCTGCCTCTGCGGCCCGGGCTGGTGACGGGGGCCGTGGGACGGGCCCGCCGCGTCGGAGTCCCCACCACCCTCCCAAATCCTCCCCTCCGTTTCGCTCAGCCATGGCCAAGGGTCTATGGGGCCCCTGTCGGGGGCGGCCCTAAACACGATATCGTCTTCGGTCACCCTCGCCTGTGCAGGGGCGAGGTCGTCGGTTTGAGCAGCGGTAGCCTGATGCGAGACGGGGCAGTGCATCCGCGATCTGCCCCAGACAGACCTCTGAGCAGGGCCATGAGGGTGATGCCTGCGGATGTTCAGAATTCTTTCCACTCCCTTCACCCCTCTCCATCCCAACAACACGCAGGTGCCGCTCACCGTGTCTCTGAGGACAGCAATGCAATCCCGGATCTCATCGACAATCGGGCTGTCGGCACCGTTGAAGAGTTCAGCGTTGCTCAGAATCGTCTGGGGGTGGGCGGAAGGGCTCGCGGACAGCGTCGGCGGGCGTGCTAGAGGTTCAGCCAAGCCCTCAACTGCCCCACCAACCTCAGCGACGGTCCCTGCATGACCCGGCGCATACCCAGCAGCCCTGAGCATATTCCCTTCCAATCACTCCTCGTCCGCCGGCTCACCTCGAGGTCATGGTGAAAGGCTTCGCAGGTCCTGTAGTACCCATTGCACAGCCTCCTGATCACGTCTGCCGGGCACAGCGGCAGTGGCACCTGCAGGGGATGATGGGTCCGCAACGCTATGGTGGAATGTTGGCTCAGGTGCCAAACCTTGCCAAACCTGCTCTCATCCGAGCTGAGCACCCCGTCAATTCCGTAACTTGGTCAAGGTGCTTTGACTACCAGAGCCTGCCAGCCTGGGAGCGAGGTTGGATGCACCCGGATCCCAGGAAACCAGCTCGGTGCACCCACCCAGGCGCACCACTCGATTGTAAAACTCTGCCGTCCCCCGGACCGACACGAACTGCACGTCCTGGCCCGGCAGCTCCATCAGCTCGTCGCTGGCGGCTCTGCTGCCTCGAGACCCGGGAAGGAGGTCCTTGAGTGCCCTGTGCCTCTCCGCATCCACCTGTTGAGCGGGCGAGAGCGTGTTGGTGTGGGGAGGGTAGAAGGGCGGAGACAGCACGTACGTGCCACAGCGCTGGCAAAGCGCCCAAGGCCCTGGCCCTGCCCGCTAGGGAAGGCTGGGTTGCTGGCGAAGGGGCCCTGCCTGAAATTCCAGGCCGTCCCCTGGCACGCCTGGGCAGGGTGCCGGCACAGGCACGCTCACCACCAGGGCTTGCCGGTCACGCAGCCGCCTCTCCCCGACAAAGTCCTCCCAGGTGTCCAGCTCCCAGAAGCAGGAGCGTGTGGTGTTGGCTTCCCCCTCCTCCAGCCCCGTGTCTTCGAGATTCACGCCCGAACCGCCTTGGCCATCTGTGAGAATGCCTGCCACAGGGGACGCACCACGGTGTCCAGCAGGTGGCAGCGGTGAGGGTGGACTGCCCGCCCCCAGCGGCTTTAGATGAGAGGCAAGCACGCGGCAGCGTCCCCGCCGCCATGCACCCCCACCCCCACCCCACCCCCCACCCCTTCCTCGGCATTTGGTTCCAGCGTCCCCGGACGCTCACCTTCCCACGTCACGCGGACGGAGTTGTAGAGGAGGGTGTCGCGGAGGTGGAAGGGCTCCAAGGGAGAGGGATGGTTGTGCATGTATGGTCTATGATCATCAAAATCCACCACTATTCCTTTCCAGTACTGGCCCCTCGGCTCGGTGTGGTCCCGGCTGGGGGTCCTGGCACCGGCCAGGGCCCCCTGGGCATCCTCCTCCTCCTCCACGGCCTCCCTCCAGAACCCCTGGGCAGCAGTGAGGCGCGATGGCGGTGGTGAGGCTGGGCCTGGCGCGGCCAGGGCATCTGGCTGTCGCCGGACGGGCCGGCAACCTGGACAGGGGCGGAGCGACCCCGCCCCATGCTTCAGCACCTGCAGCCACAGGTGCTGGCTGGGACTGCCGGGCCTCACCCGCCCACACGACCCCATGTCTCCACGCACCACGACGGTGTCCCCGATGGCCAGGTGTTGGCTCAGGCTCCGTCCAAAGTCACGTGCCAAAATCACAAACTCCTCCATATCCCGGTCCGGGTGAGGAAGGCGCACCGTCATCTCCTCGCCCTGGGGCGAGGGGCGGGGGGGAGGGGGGGGCTCCCTGGATCAAGAAACCACGGTCCATGGTGCCCTGAGGGTCGGCAGCGGCAGCCTCGTGTGCACCTGGCTGCGCTCCCCAACCCCACCCCCTCCCACCAGGCGACTTCACCCTTCGCGCGCCCCACCTCGTATGGGGGTGGCTGGTGGGGCTGGCTGGGGTCTTCAGTGTCGGATCGGTAGGGGCTGGCGTCCAATCTCAATCGCACGTCGCAGGCGGTGTAGCCGAGGTCTTCATCGATAACGTAGCTGATGCCGACCACCCTGTGCACAATTATATTCTCCCGGGGGTTAGAGGGTGAAGGGGGGGGGGGACGGTTGAGATCCCGCACTCAGCGTGCCACTGCCATCCCACTGGTACGCACTGCGAGCGCAGCAGTACACTTGCACGCGCCTTGCGTGGCCAGGCCACCCTCCCCACCTGCAAGGCTCGCTATCGTTCATGGGAAGCCCACCGGTCACGACATGCCACGGCGCCCAGTCACGCTCTTCATCAAAGTCCATTGGGTGATACTTCCACCAGCACGTCGCGTGTTGCGAGCGGAAGTACACCACACGATCACCCATCTACCAAGGGGGCCAAGCGGTTTGGGGCCGAGATTGGGGCAGTGAGTGGGGGTGGGGCAAGAGCCGTGGATCAGCGGGGCATGGTTCAGAGGGCGACAGCCTGAGCGGTCCCCGCCCCCTTGTTGACCAACTGGTATTACTCATGGCTGGCGGACCCTGAACGGCAAACACGTCCCCCGGGGGGGGGCGGCGGCGTGCATGGAGGCACGCCACGGGGAACAGGCCACCGCGGCTAAGGAAAGGGGGGCGCACCCCACGGCCCTGCCATCCAGAGGCTGGAGCTGGTGCATGCACATGCCCTCCCCTGCATCATGCTCCCTCAACTCTGTGGCTCGGACCCCTCCGCCATCCCACCCACCCACCGACCTGCGGGCAGTAGAAGGGCATGCCGGGCCTGAGGACCCTGAGCCAGTCATAGGCGAGTGACGGGCGCGGACCCCCTTGCGGGGGAGCGCGTCGCCTGCGAGACGAGCGCGAGGCAGCCTGGGCAGGAGGCCCTGCCCCCGCATCACCCCAGGACTCCAACTGGGGGGAGGGGGGGGGGGGGGGATGGTGGCACGATGCCCAGACACGTGCGGCGGGAAACGTCGCTGGGGCTGGGTGCTCGGCATCTGCTTCTCAGACCCCGCCGCGCCAGCAGCATCGACCCAACCTGGCCCACCTCATCATCATCATCATCAACGTCAAAATTCCGGTGTGTGGGCGCATCACGCACGCGCCCGGCCCCCCTCCTCGGCCGGGGGGGCTGCGGGGGACCCGCGCCCGCCGCCAGCGCCTCCTGCCGCCGCGCCGCCCGTGCCGCCTACGGGAGAGGGGGCGGTGGTGCTCACTCAGCCACCGCGCCAGCCCACGCCCACATGGGTGCGGGGCGTCGACCAGTGCTGTGCAGTGTCCGTGGGCGCACGACCCATCCTCATGCTCGAGCCTCTCCAGCCAGGGCTCTCCAGCTCCAACCCAGCCACCCAGACCAAGGAACCCACACCTCCGCCTCCCGAGAAACCGAGTCCCCTCCGCTCACCCTGTCCGCGCGCTGTTGCTCCCGGGTCTGCGGGGCGGGGCCCGGCCCCGGCGTGCCCGGCCTCTCCGCTCCCTGCGTGGCCTGGCGGGCGGCGAGCCGTGCGCTGTGCCTGAGGACGTGCCGCCGCCGCTGATTGGCATGAGCGTCGCGGGAGGCATCCGAGGGTGACTCCGAGTTGCTGAAGTAATGGTATTGAACCGGCCTCGCCTCTGCATGCGCGTGAAGAGGGGGGAAACACGCGCCTGATGGTACGGGGTGTAGGTGGGCAGGGATGCACAGGGAGTTGCTGCTGGCAGGCAGCCAGCCCCACTGGCCATCAAGGGATCCAGACGGCATGCCAGGCGGAAGGATGCCGGCGCGTCCAGGAGCACTCTCGAAGCTGCATGCCCGGTGTCGCCATTCAAGCCCAGCGCATTGCATGGTCAAGGGAGGGGCGCGCGGGGTCGGCGCAACCCCCTTTGACCGCCAGTCTTGGTAGCGCCCGGGCCCTGCCCTTGTGCTCCTCACGTCGCCTTCGCTTCCCACCATCACTGCAAGCTGGCAGGGTCCATTCCCTCTGCCCCGCCCTTCCCAGCCCCTCCTGTTTCGCACCTCCTCCACTGCTCGTCGCCCCGTCGCCCAGTTCTTCATCGCTACCCTCCCACCGCCACGCTTCAGTCCCCACTCCATCTGCGGCCACCCTCTGCCGTGCATCCTCCTCGCCACGCAGTCGCTCCTCGTCCTCGCTGGGCGGGTCAACATCCCATAGGTCCAGGTGGTACTTGGGCCTCACCATCTCCCGCAGAAGATCTGGGCAACTGACGTAATACGCCTCCAGGCTGGCGCCCACCCGTGCCATGGCATCCGCCGTCTCGGTCTCTTGCCCACCCCGCTGCTGAACCTGGGACAGACATTTGGGGGATGGGGACCATGCGGGTCTTTGTGGAGGAGACGGGTCAGCTGCAGGGGTGTGTCTCCTCAGGGGCATGATGGGAATGGACAGGCAGAGCCCTGATACTCCTCGTCTTGCGAGGAGCACATTTGTTGTCCTCAGCACAGCGCCCGATGCCAATTCTGTGCCAGCGCCCACTTACCAGCCACCCGGCGGCCAGGGTTGGCGGCGCCACATAGGCGTAGGAGGCAGACTGCGAGTGGCTCAGCTTCTGCCACTGGGCCTCCGGCATGGCTGACAGCCGACCCTCGCGGAATGCGTCCTGAATACGCTCGTCATAGTTCACATTGCTGGCGTCGCAGAGCACCCGCTCCAGCGCCAGCTCTGCATGTGTGGCGCACGTTGGGGTCGATGAGCAAGGGGCTGGAGTATCTGGGAGACAGGTCACCGCCGGGAAGCTGCTGCTGAGGTCCCTCACTGGCTGAGCGACCTGCGGACCAAGCCTCCATCTGCTGCTGCTCCATGCGCACACAGGCATCCTGTCTGCGGCTGAAACTCCATTCAGCAGATCCCTCGGGCAACCTCAGCCACTCTTTCCCGCATATCATGCCGTCCACTGCAGCCGCCCACCGTGGAAAGGGCGGTTGAGGGCGGCGTCCACGACCTGCCGGTCCTCAGTCAGCGCCAGCTGCCTGTAGTCTGTGGTGAAGAACTGGTCCTCGGGTACGCGTGGCAGGATGCCCTGGTCCAGTCGCCGGTATGTCCTGTGTCGTGCGGGGCGGTACAGGAGAGCCTGGGCCGGGCGGCGGCGACTGGAGCAGCCGGGCACCGGCACAGCGCTTGCTTGAGGTGCCTTGGGAATGGGAAGGGGAGGCCCCAGTGGGACACCCACATTTATTTGCTGCTGATGCCCCAATGCATGTCCCAAGGGCTGACACCCAGCCACTGCAGCCAACACTGCTCCCGGAGGCTCACGAGAAGAGGTGCACTTGGCCGCAGGCGTCCGCCAGGCAGAAGCTCTCCCCATCCGGCGCAAACCGGCCCTCAATGTAGGGCAGCGCAGCCTCCCACTGCAGGGCTCCAGGTCTCGACATTAGACTACGACAGGGGGAGGGAGGGAGATGTGATGGTTTGCGTGCCCCCTGACTCCGGCAAGCTTGCGGGCTCAAACACGCGCCGGGGGCAAAAACCCTCGAGTGTAACACCCCGCGCCTTCCACGTCGCAGTCCAGTGCCGCCCGCCAGACCGCAGGCCCTATTCTCCCAGCGGCAGCAATGGTTGCCCAGGGTGCGGCGCGCTACGCCAGATGAATCCTCTCCCCCCCCCCGCACCTGGAGAAGCACAGGAACGGTGTGCCGCCCCCGTCCAGACGCCACAGCATGGCATCCCCGCCATAGCAGGCGGAGAGGAAGATGGAGGGTTCACTGGGATGGGCTTCCAGCACATGGATCGCCCCCGAATGGCTGGGGACGTCCTCGCCGGCCTTAGGTTGCAGGGGAGGGAAGTGGCGAAAGTGGGGGGTGTTGCCCCGGCTGCCAATGCTGTGAGCCGACACGATGCGGCGGGAGGAGGCCGCCAGCAGCCTGCAAAGACGGTGGTGGGTGTAAAAGGACGGCCATGTTGCCTGCACCTGACACGGCGACCCCTGTCTCCTCGCAGGCATGACCCTCGTCTGGTGCACACCAGCGGGGACAGCCACTGCAGCATATATGCCTCACCAGGTGTCGTCCGAGTTCCATGCAAACTGGTTGACGGCAAGGCCTGGCAGGCCCCGCCGCTCGTCCTGGCGACTCTGCTCCTCCGTGCATGGCAGCGAAATCTGATGCTCCCGCGTCCATTCGCCGTTCCGCACCTTCCTCGACCGCCTGTCATTGACACGCCACACCTTTGCACGGTTGTGGGCAGGGGGCCGCTTCAGGAGGGCGAAGCAGTGGCTGGACTGCTCGCACCTGCGGCGCTCGCTGGAAGCACGCAGGACACCAGGCCTGCGCCGCGCCCCCCAGCTCCCCCGGCCCACGAACCTCGACGTGGCCAGCCTTGGTGCCGATGGCGATGCGGTCGCCGCGATGCGAGAACGCGATTAGATGTACGGCGCCGCGCTGCACCTCCACCGTGTCAGAGGGGTGGAAGGACGGCGGCAGCGCCTCGCACGTCTCAGGCTCCCCCGCCTCCACATGCGGCGCCTGGCTCCAGCAAGACGCAGTGCAGTCCTGGCTTCCGATGAAGAGGCGGTGCCCGCAGGGGCTGAAGGCAGCGGTCAGCACGGCATGGTCGGGGTAGTCCTGTGAGCATGCATGCGGTGGGAGGAGGGAGAGTGGGAAGGGGCGGCTGAGAGGGAGGGTGCCGGGGCAAGGATGCGGAGGGCTGAGGGGAACACTACTGGCGATAAAGCCCGGCATCTGCCACGCTCTACCGCGCTCAGGCAAGACAGCGAGTTGCAGATGCGGGGTTCCCAGCCCAGGCAGCGACAGGAGGTCCCGCCGGCAACGCTGTGAGGAGGCTGACATAAGAAATCTGCCCACCCCACCGACCCCAATACCACCCCGCTGCCCACCAACCGACATTGTTATCGGCGCGAGCCGTTGAGGGCATGAGCTGGACCACCTCCGGCGGTGAGGCCTCGCCGTCCGAGCCACTCAGCCACTCGTCATTCCGGGCCGGACTGGGTGCCCCGCTGTCATTCCCACTGCCGCTTGCATCTGATCCCGGACTCCGGCCGTGCGGCCCGGCGCGGCCCCCGCCACGGCCCCGGGCTACCGCGGGTACCCGTGGCGTGGCGACGCCCCCTCCGTCCCCGCCCGCCTGCGCCTGGGCGCGCAGCGGGTACCGACCCGTCCCCGCCGCAGCGGGCCGCCGCTGTGCGTCCCCACGGGTCCTGGCCGCCCCTGCTTGGGCCGTCGCGGCCGCTGCAGCGGCTGCGGCTTCCTCGGCCGCCGCCCGCGCGGCCTCTCGCCGCGCCATCACCGACGCCAGGCGGGCGCTGCGTACCTGGGGCGCCTCGGGCGCCTGCAAAGGGCGCTCGCGTGGGTCGACGACCTGGAGGCAGACCGCGCCGGAGCTGCCCAGGATCTGCCACAGGCGGCAGGTGCCATCGAAGGAGGCCG